TCCAAAAACCACTAGGCCAATGTTAGCCTATATATTTTGTTTTGTTGATTACTTACAATATCCCAAATGTTTCCCACTATTTGTAAATCGTGAGAAAATTGCGATTGGAAACGGGACGTGTGAGCAGGGGTGAGGAGTCGCCAGTCAATGACGTCATATCCGCGTTACCCCCAGTTTCCGCTCGTACTGCCATAGTAACCATGGCGACAGACGTGGACAACTGGGTTATGCTTAGCAGGACGCTCACGCTGTTGTTGTTTTGTTTAAACATTATAGACCATGGCAAGCAGACTTTGAGACAAAAAGAGGACTAGAACGAAGATCAACATCTTTCGAGAAGCCGAGAGCTCCACGTCCGCGACTAACTTCGACTCGACAGAGACGTGAGTGTTGCATGTACTTTATTAGACAGGTGAGCAAATGTACATAAAACTAATCAATGTTATTTAGTTCAATATGATGAAATGCTAGAATATGATCTGTATGTTATTCTAATGTTGATCTAGCTTACTGCTAGTCTCATACAGCCAACAAACAACCTAACTAACAACATTCAACACACTTAAATGGCATTTAGTGTGATAGTTTAACTGTTAGAGCGAGAGAAACAGCGCTGCGTTACCTCAAGTTTAATTCCCCTAATAAACTGACCTGTGTGAGTATTAATTCAGCACTTGCGTGTAGTTCGGTAGAATGAAATGTCCTTATTCCTTTATATCTGCGGGACTTGCGTTGCGTGTGGCGCTGGTATACGTCTAGCAATCGCGCCCTGCTTCACACCACAGTCATGTTAAAAACATCACTGTATTCACTCATCCATTAAAGATCCATCAGCTTGACGACAAGATCCATACTTACGCTTAATGTGGAATATACGTCATTAATATACGCCTTTGTTATTGTAAGAGGTTAGGGACCCCTGGTGGCGAAAAATCCTGCATATTGTACCTTTAAGGGATTAAAATATTGACTACAGGGGGACTTTAAAGGAATAGTTTACCCAAAAATACTCACCCTCATGTTGTTCCAACCCCGAGTTAGTTCATGTAGTGTAACAGCGCAGCGCTTCTGGGTTGTACGTCACATGTAGGCTCACTATTGGCTGACGCTGGTCATGTGTGTGATGCGTGTGACGTACAACCCAGAAGCGCTGCGCTGTTACACTACATGAACTCACGCGAGGCCCACAGAGAAGGAAATGAATAGTTGAATAAAGTCTTTTTTTTTTTTCTTTTTTTTTGCACAAAAAGTATTCTCATCACTTGATAAATTTAAGGTTGAGCCGCTGTAGTCACTCGGACTATTTGAACGATGTCTTTAATAACTTTTCTGGGCCGGCAAGTTTTGATCCCTTTAGAAGCCTATGGAGGAGTGATCCAGCTCTCAGATTTAATCACAAATATCTTAATTTGTGTTCCGAAGATGAACGACAGTCTTACGGGGTTGAACAACATGAGGGAGAGTAATCACTGACAGAGTTTACATTTTTGGGTGAACTATCCCTTTAACTCTATCCCTGCCATTGCTTGAATTCACCGGCTAGCCGTGTTTCCACTGTTATACAGTAGGTGGCGCTGTTACACATCTCCTGAAAGAGTACAAAATCTCCAGATCAAAACACAGGAGAAGCACAAACAATAGATAGAAGCATTGCTGACGCACATGTCAATTATAACACGATCATCAGACATTAAAACAGCTTATAAATCAAAACTGCCTAATGTTACTGAACGCAGGACGAGTTACACGACTGAAGCTTTGAGGTGACCCGATCGACTCCATCTGTGTTTTGATCATCGCTCTGAATCTCATCCAATGATATCTTTAATAAAAACACGATTTTCTCAGCTTTTTCTTCAAAATGTTTTTTTTTTTATTAAACTTACCCACATTCAAGTGTTGATAAAAAAAAAAAAATATGAAGATAGAATAAAATGTTGTCTCTGTTCTTTCTTTGGCATCGCATGTTCAGATATTCATACAACATAATATTCTGGGAGCCGTTAAAGTTGTGTGAAAGTTATCAAAAAAAGGGTGTGTTTTTTATTTTATTGAATTACTCTCTGCCTTTTGTGGCATTTTAGTTAATGCTAGTTTATTAACGTTCTAAACAGAGTAAAAAAAATGAAAAGGGCAACAATCATGATTTAGCATATTTTATTACCATTTTGTGCAACAAATAAAACCCCATGGAGTAAAACTGCTGCTGTTTTAATAAGTGGCACTAAACTGAGCGTGTGAAGAATCCAGACAGACACAGATGATCCCGTTCAACATGTTATATTAAACACTTAAACACTTAGATTCCCTTAACTGGTTAATAACCGCCAGCAGAAGTAACATCAGCAGTTTCACACATTCAGCTGATCTGGAGTGTGTTTCCCACTCGAAGACATCAACTACTGGTTTCCCGAAACCATATCGTGTCAAAGTGGTCGTTCAACCACGCCGGTTAATGATGTCACGCTGGTTAATGATGTCACTGGTGGTGGAGAAATGACTACTTTAAAGAATCTGTTAGCAATCAAATTAACGCTAGATGTTTTGTTATGACTTACAGACATGCATCTGAGGAATATCTCTCATTTTTCTCAGTTATTTTGCTTTATTTCCAGATTCAATCATCGGCTCGTTCACACACACACTAGAGCTCGTTCACACACACACTAGAGCTCGTTCACACACACTAGAGCTCGTTCACACACACTAGAGCTCGTTCACACACACTAGAGCTCGTTCACACACACTAGAGCTCGCTCACACACACTAGAGCTCGTTCACACACACTAGAGCTCGTTCACACACACTAGAGCTCGTTCACACACACTAGAGCTCGCTCACACACACTAGAGCTCGTTCACACACACTAGAGCTCGTTCACACACACTAGAGCTCGTTCACACACACTAGAGCTCGTTCACACACACTAGAGCTCGTTCACACACACTAGAGCTCGTTCACACACACTAGAGCTCGCTCACACACACTAGAGCTCGCTCACACACACACTAGAGCTCGCTCACACACACTAGAGCTCGCTCACACACACTAGAGCTCGTTCACACACACACTAGAGCTCGTTCACACACACTAGAGCTCGCTCACACACACTAGAGCTCGCTCACACACACTAGAGCTCGTTCACACACACTAGAGCTCGTTCACACACACTAGAGCTCGTTCACACACACTAGAGCTCGTTCACACACACTAGAGCTCGTTCACACACACTAGAGCTCGTTCACACACACTAGAGCTCGTTCACACACACTAGAGCTCGTTCACACACACTAGAGCTCGTTCACACACACTAGAGCTCGCTCACACACACTAGAGCTCGCTCACACACACTAGAGCTCGCTCACACACACTAGAGCTCGTTCACACACACACTAGAGCTCGTTCACACACACTAGAGCTCGTTCACACACACTAGAGCTCGTTCACACACACTAGAGCTCGTTCACACACACTAGAGCTCGTTCACACACACTAGAGCTCGTTCACTAGAGCTCGTTCACACACACTAGAGCTCGTTCACACACACTAGAGCTCGTTCACACACACTAGAGCTCGTTCACACACACACTAGAGCTCGTTCACACACACTAGAGCTCGTTCACACACACTAGAGCTCGTTCACACACACTAGAGCTCGTTCACACACACTAGAGCTCGTTCACACACACTAGAGCTCGTTCACACACACTAGAGCTCGCTCACACACACTAGAGCTCGTTCACACACACTAGAGCTCGTTCACACACACTAGAGCTCGTTCACACACACTAGAGCTCGTTCACACACACACTAGAGCTCGTTCACACACACTAGAGCTCGTTCACACACACTAGAGCTCGTTCACACACACTAGAGCTCGTTCACACACACTAGAGCTCGTTCACACACACTAGAGCTCGTTCACACACACTAGAGCTCGCTCACACACACTAGAGCTCGTTCACACACACTAGAGCTCGTTCACACACACTAGAGCTCGTTCACACACACTAGAGCTCAGAGCTCGTTCACACACACCAGAGCTCGTTCACACACACTAGAGCTCGTTCACACACACTAGAGCTCGTTCACACACACTAGAGCTCGTTCACACACACTAGAGCTCGTTCACACACACTAGAGCTCGTTCACACACACTAGAGCTCGTTCACACACACTAGAGCTCGTTCACACACACCAGAGCTCGTTCACACACACTAGAGCTCGCTCACACACACTAGAGCTCGTTCACACACACTAGAGCTCGTTCACACACACTAGAGCTCGTTCACACATGCGCACTCTTCAAAACCGACACTTTAAATCTCTTGACAAACTAAAAGACGTAAATGACATGTGTGTATCTAAGTTAAAGACACGGGTTGCACTGAATGTCAGATTGCTTATTTTGCTCAAGATCAGGATTTATTGAGTCACATGTCATGCAAACATGAAACACTTCTTCTAACCGCAGCTCGAGAGCCGTCGCTCACACACACACAACTCTGCGACGCTGTTTGCGAATGTTCGTTACAACTATAGTTTGGGGAAACACTGGTTGAACTGCTGATAACGAGCATCTGGCTAACGATGCTTTCGGGAAACACACCCCTGATCGCTGAATGCATGCAAGCTCACTTACAGTCCCCAAATAAATCTAAACACGGTGTCGTGAATAACCACACACTTCATTATCAATATTAATTCCTACCTTGTTTATGCTAATATATGCATGATGTAAACAAGCTGGTAGAAAAAAATAACAACAGAAACAACAGAACGGATAGTTTGATAGAGAACATTAACCACTGAACATGTAGAATAGACCGATAGCTTACTGTAAATGAACACACCAGGGACGTCTGCTACTGTAAAGCAGTTCTCTGGAGATGTGATTATATTCCCGAGAGTCAGCTTTTCCACAACTTTACTGTCGTTCAGTTCATATGGAGATTCTCTGGATCTGAATGTTCCCGGTTTGATGTTTCGGGGTATCGGCAGATCCAGATTGATTTGGTTTTGGCAGGTTTGGATATAGTTTGTGTTTATGAGCTCAGACCTGTGAGATCTGCTTCTCTGTGAGTTTGGACTCGGCCTGTTGCTCTTCCTCATCTTCATCTTCATCGAAGTTCAGTTTCAGGCTTTCTAGAGTTTGTCTCGACTCTTTCCTCCTGCGGGACACAATATTAGCAGAACGTTAACCTATTAAAAGTCCCCAAATAAATCTAAACACGGTGTCATGAATAACCACACACTTCATTATGAATATTCATTTCTACGTTGTTTATGCTAATATATATGCATGATGTAAACAAGCTGATAGAAAAAAATAGAATAAATGTTTGATATTAAGGCCTTCATACAAAATACAGTCTGAAATTAATATTTTTATTAGATTTAACAAAAATGCATTAAATATACATAAATATTTATGTATTATTTAATAAACGTAATTTATATTAATACATTATTATCGTGTATATATTAACACAAATATTTATAATTATAATACATATTTATTTTAAATAAATGTAATTTAGCTGTGTGTGTGTGTGTGTGTGTGTGTGTCGTGTGTGTGTGTGTACGCACTTGTTGGTCAGCTGTTGGTCCAGCAGTTGTCGTGTGTGTGTGTGTGTGTGTGTGTGTACGCACTTGTTGGTCAGCTGTTGGTCCAGCAGTTGTCGTGTGTGTGTGTGTGTGTGTGTGTACGCACTTGTTGGTCAGCTGTTGGTCCAGCAGTTGTCGTGTGTGTGTGTGTGTACGCACTTGTTGGTCAGCTGTTGGTCCAGCAGTTGTCGTGTGTGTGTGTGTGTGTATACGCACTTGTTGGTCAGCTGTTGGTCATGCAGTTGTCGTGTGTGTGTGTGTGTACGCACTTGTTGGTCAGCTGTTGGTCATGCAGTTGTCGTGTGTGTGTGTGTGTACGCACTTGTTGGTCAGCTGTTGGTCCAGCAGTTGTCGTGTGTGTGTGTGTGTGTGTGTGTGTACGCACTTGTTGGTCAGCTGTTGGTCCAGCAGTTGTCGTGTGTGTGTGTGTGTGTGTGTGTGTGTGTGTGTACGCACTTGTTGGTCAGCTGTTGGTCCAGCAGTTGCCGTGTGTGTGTGTGTGTGTGTGTGTGTGTGTGTGTGTGTACGCACTTGTTGGTCAGCTGTTGGTCCAGCAGTTGTCGTGTGTGTGTGTGTGTGTGTGTGTGTGTGTACGCACTTGTTGGTCAGCTGTTGGTCCAGCAGTTGTCGTGTGTGTGTGTGTGTGTGTGTGTGTGTGTGTACGCACTTGTTGGTCAGCTGTTGGTCCAGCAGTTGTCGTGTGTGTGTGTGTGTGTGTGTGTGTGTGTGTGTGTGTGTGTACGCACTTGTTGGTCAGCTGTTGGTCCAGCAGTTGTCGTGTGTGTGTGTGTGTGTGTGTGTACGCACTTGTTGGTCAGCTGTTGGTCCAGCAGTTGTCGTGTGTGTGTGTGTGTGTGTGTGTGTGTACGCACTTGTTGGTCAGCTGTTGGTCCAGCAGTTGTCGTGTGTGTGTGTGTGTACGCACTTGTTGGTCAGCTGTTGGTCCAGCAGTTGTCGTGTGTGTGTGTGTGTGTGTGTGTGTGTGTACGCACTTGTTGGTCAGCTGTTGGTCCAGCAGTTGTCGTGTGTGTGTGTGTGTACGCACTTGTTGGTCAGCTGTTGGTCCAGCAGTTGTCGTGTGTGTGTGTGTGTGTGTGTGTGTGTGTGTGTGTGTGTGTGTGTGTGTACGCACTTGTTGGTCAGCTGTTGGTCCAGCAGTTGTCGTGTGTGTGTGTGTGTGTACGCACTTGTTGGTCAGCTGTTGGTCCAGCAGTTGTCGTGTGTGTGTGTGTGTGTGTGTGTGTGTGTACGCACTTGTTGGTCAGCTGTTGGTCCAGCAGTTGTCGTGTGTGTGTGTGTGTACGCACTTGTTGGTCAGCTGTTGGTCCAGCAGTTGTCGTGTGTGTGTGTGTGTGTACGCACTTGTTGGTCAGCTGTTGGTCCAGCAGTTGTCGTGTGTGTGTGTGTGTGTGTGTGTGTACGCACTTGTTGGTCAGCTGTTGGTCCAGCAGTTGTCGTGTGTGTGTGTGTGTGTACGCACTTGTTGGTCAGCTGTTGGTCCAGCAGTTGTCGTGTGTGTGTGTGTGTGCACGCACTTGTTGGTCAGCTGTTGGTCCAGCAGTTGTCGTGTGTGTGTGTGTGTGTACGCACTTGTTGGTCAGCTGTTGGTCCAGCAGTTGTCGTGTGTGTGTGTGTGTGTGTGTGTGTGTGTGTACGCACTTGTTGGTCAGCTGTTGGTCCAGCAGTTGTCGTGTGTGTGTGTGTGTGTACGCACTTGTTGGTCAGCTGTTGGTCCAGCAGTTGTCGTGTGTGTGTGTGTGTGTACGCACTTGTTGGTCAGCTGTTGGTCCAGCAGTTGTCGTGTGTGTGTGTGTGTGTGTGTGTGTACGCACTTGTTGGTCAGCTGTTGGTCCAGCAGTTGTCGTGTGTGTGTGTGTGTGTACGCACTTGTTGGTCAGCTGTTGGTCCAGCAGTTGTCGTGTGTGTGTGTGTGTGCACGCACTTGTTGGTCAGCTGTTGGTCCAGCAGTTGTCGTGTGTGTGTGTGTGTGTACGCACTTGTTGGTCAGCTGTTGGTCCAGCAGTTGTCGTGTGTGTGTGTGTGTGTGTGTGTGTGTGTGTACGCACTTGTTGGTCAGCTGTTGGTCCAGCAGTTGTCGTGTGTGTGTGTGTGTGTACGCACTTGTTGGTCAGCTGTTGGTCCAGCAGTTGTCTCTGCAGTCGGCTGTTGGCCTCTCTCTCCTCCATCAGTTCTCTCTGTGTGTGTCGGTGTTGAACGTCCCGTCGACTCGCCTCTTCCTCGACCTCGTTCAGCTGCCTCTTCAACACACGCATCCGCTGAGTCATCTACAAACACACACAACCTTCAGACCAGAGGACCAACACACTCCCTTTCACATTCGATCCTCCTCCGGGAGAAAATTGGCAGTCGGCTCACTTGTTCAATCACCAATGATATAATAATAAAACTTGCATCGGCACAAATGCAAAAAATATATGGAAAAATAAATGCAAGTATAAAAGAGACCATTTATTAAAGGAATATTATTACATTATTAAATAATTGTGTGTGAGTGTGTGTGATGTGCTGTTGTTCAGTGGTGTTGTGTCTCCCTCTGCTGTCTGTCAGTGTGTGTGTGTGTGTGTGTGTGTGTGTGTTTTGTGCTGTTATTCAGTGTTGTGTCTCCCTCTGCTGTCTGTCAGTGTGTGTGTGTGTGTGTGTGTGTGTTTTGTGCTGTTATTCAGTGTTGTGTCTCCCTCTGCTGTCTGTCAGTGTGTGTGTGTGTGTGTGTGTGTGTTTTGTGCTGTTGTTCAGTGTTGTGTCTCCCTCTGCTGTCCGTGTGTGTGTGTGTGTGTGTTTTGTGCTGTTGTCCAGTGTTGTCTCCCTCTGCTGTCCGTCAGTGTGTGTGTGTGAGTGTGTGTGTGTGAGTGTGTGTGTGTGTCTCCCTCTGCTGTCCGTCAGTGTGTGTGTGTGAGTGTGTGTGTGAGTGTGTGTGTGTGTCTCCCTCTGCTGTCCGTCAGTGTGTGTGTGTGTGTGTCGTACCAGCTCCCTCTGCTCAGTGGAGATCTTGTTCTCCTCCTCCACCTGCTCCGTCAGCTCGTGGATCTTCCTCTCCAGTTTGCTGATGGTGTTGCTCATGACCACTTTATTCCTGAGGAGCGGAACGAGTCTTTAGAGGATCATTCTGACACAGTGTGGATCTGTTCAAAACTCTAGAACTCAATCTTACAGAACCCGTCAAGCCAAACGGGTACAAGGAGAAATATCTTACATGATTGGATAATACAAATAGTATGTTTATGAGCGGTTTAATTCATAATATTTAATAATAATAATACAAAAAATTAAACTAAATTAAATTAAACTAAAATAAATCCGTAACATGATCCATGATGGAACCGCTAGAAGGTTCTATATGAAGTGCCGGACGGAACCCTTAAAGATTCCAAATAGAATCTTTTCTTCAAATTTCCCATTTTCTCCAAAAGTCGAATTATTAGGAAACTTCAGAGCCACACGGTGATGAAAATAAATAAATATATATAAATATATATATATATGAAAAGGGAGAAAAATTATATTTCAATGCGTTCTCTCGCACAACTATTGCATTCCCTATAAAAATATCCTGTAAGTTTCAAAACTCAAAACTTCCTTGATATTCCGAAAAATAGCTTTTATTGGGATCAAGGCCAGAAAACGACAGGATCTGAAATAGCCATTTATTTCTCAAATATGAAAAAAATTATGTAAAAAATCATATTATCATTATAAGTGCACCTCAAGAAACATTATAAAATAATTTAAAAAAAGTTCATGACCCCTTTAAACTTAAATGAACCTCCCATGAACATGAACTAACGATGAGTGTGTGTGTGTGTGTCTGACCTCTCCTCCGCACGCAGTGTGTTCTCTAGCTCTTTGGCTTTGATCTCGGCTCTAGTGACGGAATCGACCTCGACTCTGTTGTTCTGCAGTTCCTCCATCTCACTGCGCAGATCTCGCAGCTACACACACCAGCAGCGTCAGCATCTTCATTACTACAGACATGGCTATCATCACACACACACACACACACCTGTCTCTCCAGGATGGCCTTCTCACACTCCAGCTGCTCGTTGAGATCTTTCTCCTGGATGAGCTTCATCTGCAGTTGCTCAGACTGTGAGACACACACACACACACACACACGTTAACACACCGTTCTGTTCATCTGCTTTCCATACTATAAACTGTTTGCGCTGCAGAATCTGATGTTCTTCCTCTGAACTTCTGTCTTGTGTTCCAGCATCTCAAAGTGAAATTACTTGCTTTAAAGGATTAGTTCACTTTTAAAAAAACTTTTGCTGATAATTTACTCACCCCATGTCATCCAAGATGTCCATGTCTTTCTTTCTTAAGTCGGAAAGAAATTAAGGTTTTTGAAGAAAACATTCCGGGATTTTTCTCCATATAATGCACTTTGCTGGGCACCAAACGGTTCAAGGTCCAAAAGACAGTTTCAGTGCAAACTGTTCAAAGGGCTTTAAACGACACCAGACGATGAATAATGGTCTTATCAAGCGAAACGATCGCTCATTTAAAAAAGAAATAACAAAGTTTAAGTTTTATAAGCTCAAATGCCCGCCTTGATCTGTTCTGTGTGACTCTCCTGTTCGAACTCGTTCATCAAAATGAATGAATCTTTTTCCGAGTCAATTCATTAATTTCGTTCGTTAAATGAATCAAATGACTCGAAAAAAGATATGTTCATTTTGATGAACGAGTTCGAACAGGAGAGTCACACAGAACAGATCAAGGCGGGCATTTGAGCTTATAAAACTTAAACTTTGTTATTTCTTTTTTAAATGAGCGATCGTTTCGCTTGATAAGACCCTTATTCATCGTCTGGTGTCGTTTAAAGCCCTTTGAACAGTTTGCAGTTTGCACTGAAACTGTCTTTTGGACCTTGAACCGTTTGGTGCCCAGTAAAGTGCATTATATGGAGAAAAATCCTGGAATGTTTTCATCAAAAACCTTAATTTCAAAAAAAAAAAAAAAAAAAAAAGAAAGACATGGACATCTTGGATGACATGGGGGTGAGTAAATTATCAGCAAAAGTTTTTTTAAAAGTGAACTACTCCTTTAACCCTCTGATGCGCTTTGGTCATTTTTGACTGAAAAAAAAAAAAAAATTGTTTTTAAAATTTTCCTTCATCAGAATGGTACGGAACTTGGTAAAGGTTTTGGCACTTGCTGTGTGAACACACACACACACAAATCCTGGACATGATTCGAACAGGATAAACGGTCCTGTAAACAATAGTCACGCTTTTGCTCCTCCTTTTGAACACAGCTTGTTTAGATTTATGGCTTTCATTTTATCACAGTTTTTGAGTAAAACATGTTTTTGAAAATGTATGTTTCATATAAAAATTCATTTTTCATAACAACAAACGTAAAAATCTGTAACTTTTTTTAAGTTCACTTTTTAAAACTTTTTTCACGTCAGCAATAATCTGCCAAGTGTCTCAAATTTTGAACACAACTTGTTTAGACAGTTTGTTTAACAGTTTTAGATTAAAACTTAGATTATATATTTTACAATAGTATTTTTGCACATTTTTCATTAAAAAAGTTACAGAATTTTACATTTATTGTTAAATTCACTTTTTTTTTTAAAAATCACTTTTAATAATCTGCCAAGTGTCGTCTTTAAAAAGAGATCAAACTTGAGTCTGATCTCGTTTTTAGGAGATTTATGACACAAAGTTGGAAATTTAATTTTCAGGTCAAAAAGTGAATAAATGGATTATAAATACTGCGTAAATATCATTTAATACCATAAAATCCCCTAAAAATACAAAATATTAAATAAAAAACATTATCGAACTAAAAATAGTTTTTTTATAGGCTAGTTTATAATATTCACCTGATCCAGAGCTCTCTTGTGTTTGGACACCCATCGTTGGTCGTTCTCGTGAAGCTCCTCCAGATCGGCTTCCAGATCGATGATCTTCTCCTGAAACACACACTCTCGTCAGCAGTGTGAACACACACACCAGAACACATGAAGCATGAACACATCTCATGTAATCGCTCAATCAGTGTTTCAACCGCAGAACCACGTCAATATGACAGCTTGTAAACAATATCTCACATTTACCTCAGAAAAAACATATTCACTGACCATAAATCTGATAGTTAGCTAGAAAAATTAACTCAAGTCACCTTCATTTATATAGCGCTTTTAACAATATCGAAGATTGTTTTTTGAAAAAATGATATCTCTGCGCAAAATGCCGACGACGTTTTCATTATATTACATTTTCATTATAATTTTTAATTTATAAATGTATTTATTTAAATAAATGAATTCAAAATAAGCGTATTAATGCATTAAAATAAATATATTATTGATTATATTAAATAAGAATAATGCAATATAATATATTTATTTTAAATGAATTCAATAAAAATAATAAATAAATGTATTAATACATTTAAATAAATTGAATATATAATGTAATGCAATATAATATATTTTTAAATAATAACTATTAATTTATTCATATTTGTATGTAACAATTTATTAATTGTTACCTTTTTTTTATTTGTTCTTATTTTTATATATTTATGTCTAAAGCTGTTGTCTTCATTATTAATTGCATATTTGAATAAATCATGAAAAAAAGTTATGACGGCCAATGTTCAAATGTTTGTATAAACAACTAATCAATATATCATGAAAAAGTTGATATAAAAACTGCCTTATAAGCAACTTAATATTTTATTTAAAACTTTTTTATTTGAGTGCTGATTATTAAATAAATTTGATCATTGAATTGATTATTAAATAAACTTTATTTTTGGTTTTCAGCGAATTGAAAACTTCAGTCAGTAAAAGGTCAGTAATTTCGTTAAAAATGTATTTTGATGCATCACTAATGCACATAATATGCAAATAGGCAGTTTGATGATCTTTCACAGGTTTTCACAAACAAAGTTTATTAATATTCAGTAATATTATCTGTTTGACTGCAGTGACACTATCAGATGAAAACACAACGCTGATCTGAATAATGACTCTCCTGTCTTCATATTTGATGAAGTGTCATCATTGATTTTCCTGTTCAACTCTGTAAAGCTGTATTGCCTTGACCTGAGAGTGTTGTCAGCAGTGCACACACACACACACACACCTGTGCTAGTTTGAGCTGTTTGGAGAGGTCGTCTCTGCTCTGGCTGAGCGTCTGCATCTCCATCCGCAGATCCTCCAGCGCTCGCTCGGCCTGTTTGCACTGAAGCTGCGCTCGCTCACGCAGCTGAATCTCCTCCTCTAGAGTCTGCTCCTTATAGCTCAGCTTATCTGTCACCTACACACACACACACACACACACACAGAGTCATGATGTAGTCGAGTGCAGAGAGAACTTCAACATTAGGACTGATGAGATGTGTGTGTGTGTGTGTGTGTGTGTGTGTGAGAGAGTGTGAGTGTGTGTGTCTCACCTCTCCCTGCAGTAGTTCAGTAGTGTGTGTGTGTGAGAGTCTCACCTCTCTCTGCAGTAGTTCAGTAGTGTGTGTGTGTGAGAGTCTCACCTCTCTCTGCAGTAGTTCAGTAGTGTGTGTGTGTGTGTGTCTCACCTCTCCCTGCAGTAGTTCAGTAGTGTGTGTGTGTGAGAGTCTCACCTCTCCCTGCAGTAGTTCAGTAGTGTGTGTGTGTGTGTGTGTGTGTGTGTGTGTGTGTGAGAGAGTCTCACCTCTCTCTGCAGTAGTTCAGTAGTGTGTGTGTGTCTCACCTCTCCCTGCAGTAGTTCAGTAGTGTGTGTGTGTGAGTCTCACCTCTCCCGCAGTAGTTCAGTAGTGTGTGTGTGTGTGTGTGTGTGTATATACAGGTCCTTCTCAAAAAATTAGCATATTGTGATAAAGTTCATTATTTTCAATAATGTAATGATAAAAATTAAACTTTCATATATTTTAGATTCATTGCACAACAACTGAAATATTTCAGGTCTTTTATTGTTTTAATACTGATGATTTTGGCATACAGCTCATGAAAACCCAAAATTCCTGTCTCAAAAAATTAGCATATCATGAAAAGGGTCTCTAAACGAGCTATTAACCTAATCATCTGAATAAACTAATTAACTCTTAACACCTGCAAAAGATTCCTGAGGCTTTTAAAAACTCCCAGCCTGTTTCATTACTCAAAACCGCAATCATGGGTAAGACTGCCGACCTGACTGCTGTCCAGAAGGCCATCATTGACACCCTCAAGCAAGAGGGTAAGACAGAAAGAAATTTCTGAACAAATAGGCTGTTCCCAGAGTGCTGTATCAAGGCACCTCAGTGGGAAGTCTGTGGGAAGGAAAAAGTGTGGCAAAAAACGCTGCACAACGAGAAGAGGTGACCGGACCCTGAGGAAGATTGTGGAGAAGGACCGATTCCAGACCTTGGGGGACCTGCGGAAGCAGTGGACTGAGTCTGGAGTAGAAACATCCAGAGCCACCGTGCACAGGTGTGTGCAGGACATGGGCTACAGGTGCCGCATTCCCCAGGTCAAGCCACTTTTGAACCAGAAACAGCGGCAGAAGCGCCTGACCTGGGCTACAGAGAAGCAGCACTGGACTGTTGCTCAGTTTTGCATGTCATTCGGAAATCAAGGTGCCAGAGTCTGGAGGAAGACTGGGGAGAAGGAAATGCCAAAATGCCTGAAGTCCAGTGTCAAGTACCCACAGTCAGTGATGGTCTGGGGTGCCATGTCAGCTGCTGGTGTTGGTGCACTGTAGTGTTGTCAAAAATATCGATATTTCGATAAATATCGATACTGAAATATCTGAACGGTACCAATACTTATTTCCCGAAGTATCGATACTAGCCGAGCGGTCACTTTCACTTCTCTCCAAAGGCGCGTTGACAAACACCACACATGACGCACTCGTCTCATTCGCTCTGGTTAAATAGCAAAAGTGAAGTGAATAGAAAGATTGCGAGGGCGGCGCCCCCGCGACCGGCTTTGGTTGCTTGATAAAGAACACCGCGATCGGGCATGTCGGAGAATAGCGCGCACACGCATAAAAAACACACCGCGAGCAGGCATGTCGGAGTCGGAGAATAGCGTGGACACGAGCAACACACCGCGAGCGGGCATGTCGGAGAATAGCGCGGACACGCGCTACACACCGCGAGCAGGCATGTCGGAGAATAGCGCGGACACGCGTAAAAAACACACCGCGAGCAGGCATGTCGGAGAATAGCGCGGACACGCGTAAAAAACACACCGCGAGCAGGCATGTCGGAGAATAGCGCGGACACGCGTAAAAAACACACCGCGAGCAGGCATGTCGGAGAATAGCGCGGACACGCGTAAAAAACACACCGCGAGCGGGCATGTCGGAGAATAGCGTGGACACGCGCTACACACCGCGAGCAGGCATGTCGGAGAATAGCGCGGACACGCGTAAAAAACACACCGCGAGCAGGCATGTCGGAGAATAGCGTGGACACGCGCTACAGACCGCGAGCAGGCATGTCGGAGAATACGTGGACACGCGCTACACACCGCGAGCAGGCATGTCGGAGAATAGCGTGGACACGCGCTACAGACCGCGAGCAGGCATGTCGGAGAATAGCGTGGACACGCGCTACACACCGCGAGCAGGCATGTCGGAGAATAGCGCGGACACGCGTAAAAAACACACCGCGAGCAGGCATGTCGGAGAATAGCGTGGACACGCGCTACAGACCGCGAGCAGGCATGTCGGAGAATACGTGGACACGCACTACACACCGCGAGCAGGCATGTCGGAGAATACGTGGACACGCGCTACACACCGCGAGCAGGCATGTCGGAGAATAGCGTGGACACGCGCTACACACCGCGAGCAGGCATGTCGGAGAATAGCGCGGACACGCGTAAAAAACACACCGCGAGCAGGCATGTCGGAGAATAGCGTGGACACGCGCTACACACCGCGAGCAGGCATGTCGGAGAATAAGTGGACACGCGCTACACACCGCGAGCAGGCATGTCGGAGAATAGCGTGGACACGCGCTACACACCGCGAGCAGGCATGTCGGAGAATACGTGGACACGCGCTACACACCGCGAGCAGGCATGTCGGAGAATACGTGGACACGCGCTACACACCGCGAGCAGGCATGTCGGAGAATAGCGTGGACACGCGCTACACACCGCGAGCGGGCATGTCGGAGAATAGCATGGACACGCGCTACACACCGCGAGCGGGCATGTCGGAGAATAGCGTGGACACGAGCTACACACCGCGAGCGGGCATGTCAGAGAATAGCGCGGACACGCGTAAAAAACACACCGCGAGCAGGCATGTCGGAGAATAGCGTGGACACGCGCTACACACCGCAAACGGGCATGTCGGAGAATAGCGCGGACACGCGTAAAAAACACACCGCGAGCAGGCATGTCGGAGAATAGCGTGGACACGAGCTACAGACCGCGAGCAGGCATGTCGGAGTCGGAGAATAGCGTGGACACGCGCTACACACCGCGAGCGGGCATGTCGGAGAATAGCGTGGACACGCGCTACACACCGCGAGCGGGCATGTCGGAGTCGGAGAATAGCGTGGACACGCGCTACACACCGCGAGCGGGCATGTCGGAGTCGGAGAATAGCGTGGACACACGCTACACACCGCGAGCGGGCATGTCGGAGAATAGCGCGGACACGAGCTACACACCGCGAGCGGGCATGTCGGAGAATAGCGTGGACACGCGCTACACACCGCGAGCGGGCATGTCGGAGAATAGCGTGGACACGAGCTACACACCGCGAGCGGGCATGTCGGAGAATAGCGCGGACACGAGCTACACACCGCGAGCGGGCATGTCGGAGAATAGCGCGTAGGCCTACACGCGAGCGGGCTGCGGGCACCCAAAAGATTGTTTGACTATCAATAATCCCTAACATCACTCATTTTTTAAAAATTATTTTAAAGGTGAAAACAGACTTAAGGAACAGGCTCCAGGGGTACCATTTAGCAGCATATATGCTCAGCATCAGGGGTGTTTGTTGTTTGGACAGGCCTGCCCCCACTGCTAAAAAAAAATCCTAAAAGAAACACTGTAACTCTTCTCATTTTAACTTTTCTGAAACATTAACCAAGATGGCCTAGTATTGTTATTGATAAGAGTCTGTGTTGTCTCGTTTTAATTCTTAAAGTTAACATAATCTGACTGAGGAATCTTAGACAAGTAAATATTGTTGTGGTCAAATGTAAATTAGCTTGTGCCTATTTAACTTTATTCAAAAATTATTATTTAATTCTGCAATTTTCCTTCATTAGCGATTATCATCAATTTGATTACACAGATACTAATTAAACTAAACAGCTAGACAATGGCATCTCTGAATTCAATAATGAAATGCCTTTAACTGAAAATTGAATGTTTAATCTTATTATTATACATTACTGACACTCTATCCTCCAATTTGATACTGTTAAGTGCTTTTTTGTTACAGTATATTTTAATCTTTGATAACAGTAGGTAATAAATTACATCATGTTAGCTCTGGTCCAATTAAAAAATATTAACAAATAGAACTCGGGACATTTTTGTTCATGTAAAATATACCTCAATGTCATGTTCTAGACTTGTTATATTTAGCTTTAAAGTCCCCGTGAACCGGAAGTTGCAAACGACTTTTCTCCAGTGTTGTGACGTATTTCCGAGAGAAACGGAATACTAAATGAGGCAAAATGGTGGGCGTGGCTTTTTCCCCAACTAGCACCTGATTGGATCTAGAAAAGTAGGTGTTTTCATTCAGCCTGTCTACTGTCAGTTGGAGGGGCATGATTACGGATGTTAAGAAGACGCCCAAACCGTGAAACCTACGTCATCAGGGAAGGTCCTCCAACGCAGAGGGGAGGGGAAATTTCAGATTTTGATTAAAGATTACGAAGCCAAAAAAATTTGTGTGGATTGACTTGCATGGATGAATTCTTCACCACAAAACGATCAATTTAGGCAAACAAAGTAAGTATGGTCAATTTTGAATTCATGGGGACTTTAAATACAAAAAATACCCCCTTAATATTGTGGCAATTTTTTTCTCTGTGGTATCGAAAATGGTATCGAATATCGATATTTTTCAAGGTATCGTATCGAAGTTAGAAATTCTAGTATCGTGACAACACTAGTGCACTGTGTTTTATCAAGGGTAGGGTCAATGCAGCTAGCTATCAGGAGATTTTGGAGCACTTCATGCTTCCATCTGCTGAAAAGCTTTATGGAGATGAAGATTTCATTTTTCAGCACGACCTGGCACCTGCTCACAGTGCCAAAACCACTGGTAAATGGTTTACTGACCATGGTATTACTGTGCTCAATTGGCCTGCCAACTCTCCTGACCTGAACCCCATAGAGAATCTGTGGGATATTGTGAAGAGAAAGTTGAGAGACGCAAGACCCAACACTCTGGATGAGCTTAAGGCCGCTATCGAAGCATCCTGGGCCTCCAGAACACCTCAGCAGTGCCACAGGCTGATTGCCTCCATGCCACGCCGCATTGAAGCAGTCATTTCTGCAAAAGGATTCCCGAGCAAGTATTGACTAGTGAGTGCATAACTGAACATAATTATTTGAAGGTTGACCTTTTTTTTGTATTAAAAACACTTATTTTATTGGTCGGATGAAATATGCTAATATTTGAGACAGGAATTTTGGGTTTTCATGAGCTGTATGCCAAAATCATCAGTATTAAAACAATAAAAGACCTGAAATATTTCAGTTGGTGTGCAATGAATCTAAAATATATGAAAGTTTCATTTTTATCATTACATTATGGAAAATAATGAACTTTATATGCTAATTCTTTGAGAAGGACCTGTATATATATGTGGGTGTGTGTCCCACCTCTCCTTGCATTAGTTCAGTAGTGTATGTGTGTGTGTGTGTGTCTCTCACCTCTCCCTGCAGTAGTTCAGTAGTGTGTGTGTGTGTGTGTATATATATATATATATATATATATATATATATATATATATGTGTGTGTGTCTCACCTCTCCCTGCAGTAGTTCAATAGTGTGTGTGTGTGTGTGTGTGTGTGTCTCACCTCTCCCTGCAGTCTGCAGACGATCTGTGTGAGTCTCAGCATCTCCTGGTCTTTCTCCAACACACTCTCCTCCAGCTCCTCCACTCTCACCTCAGCCTCGGCCCGAAGCTTCTGCTGCAAACTCAGCTCCGTCCGCGCCTGGAGAGCCTCCTGAAGAGAGTCTGACAGCTGACACACACACACACACACACACACATTATTTGATCATGAATATTTGGTCACAGTATTATTTTTCTATGCTCACACGGCCTTGATGACAAAATTGTTTCAGAGTTGGAGAAACATCTTTTCTTCTTCAGAATAAAGAATATGAAGATGAATGCAGAAAGTCAATGATCTGTTGTGTGTGTGTGTGAGAGAGTGAGTGAGTGTCAGTGTGTGTGTGTGTGTATATATGTGTAAGGGTGTGAGAGTGTTTGTCAATGTGTGTGTGTGGAGAGAGAGAGAGAGTGTGTGTGTGTGTGTGTGTGTGTGTGATTGAGAGAGAGAGAGTGTGTGCGTGTGTATAAATATATATATGTGAGTGTGTGTGAGTGAGAGAGAAAAAGAAAGAGTGTGTGTGTGTGGAGAGAGAGATTGTGTGTGTGTGTGTGTGTGTATATATTTATATGTGTGTTTAAGTGTGTGAGATTGCGTGTCAATGTGCGTGTGTGTGTGTGTGAGAGAGAGAGAGAAAGAGAGTGTGTTTGTGTGTGTGTGTGAGAGAGAGAGTGTGTGTGTACCTCGGTCTCCAGTCTGAAAACAGTATTGCCGAGTTCTAGAGCTTTCTTGGTCTTGTTCTCCTTCTCGAGCTCCAGCTCCTCCAGACTGCGTTCAGTGAGCCACAGCTTCTCAGACACACACTGAGCGTGTTGCGTTTGTTTCTCCAGAGCTTCCTACACACACACACACGGAAGATCAGAGTCAGGACAAACACACACACAATGAAATACAACAAACATCATAAATATATAACCTTCACAAAATTCACAAATAATAGATACAATAGATAGAGTTCAATAACACTTTTCCTGATGTTTCCTCATTATATTTATTATTTCCCCTAATTTTACATTTTGCATATTAAATTATGATTCTGAGGGGTTTTTGAAAAGTATTTTGTGAAGTTTATTGGCATGACAAAAGGAATAAAGCAACAGAGAGGAAGAAATAATGAATTATAATATACTACTACTAATAAAAATAATAATCGAAATATTGCCTTGGCAACTAGCTAAAATAAAACACATTTACATTTGATTTTATTTCAGTCCATGATTATTTTATTGGAAGTAATTAACTCTGCCATGAATATATCATTATACACACTAGCATTTCAAAAGAAATAATAATAATGATGATATTAAGAGAGTTTGCGTGTGTGTTTGTGTTGACTCGCACACACCTCTGTGTCTTGTATTTTGTTCTTGAGCGTCTGTTGCAGAAAGTTGAAGGCGTATTCTTGAGTGTTTGCTTCCACCATCACCTCACGTGCCTCCTTCAGCTCGTTCTACACACACACACACACCTGTCAATCATCTCCATCACCTGATCTCCCATTGGGATTTTAAAGTGTCATGAACCAATCAGCTACGAGGAGAATCACAACATTACAAACATTGATTTGAAGCAAAAAAATGATTTGAAAATTATCTTTAGTGAGGGAAAGAACTACAATCCCATGATGCATTGCGAATTACATAATCGAATTAAAAATGATGGAGGAATATAAAACTTCTTATAGCGACTCCATTACATCATTTACATTCATGGGAGTGGGCGGAGCTAACGAGCTCTTGAGTCAACTCTCTGATTGGTGGAATTTTCAGTACCGCATTATGGGTAATGTAGTTCTTCACCAGGAATTCCGCTGAATATTTTAAGAGTAAGTTGAAATACTGCAGGCTAACAGGTTCAACAGAAGCAAATCCCACTGATTAACAACCTCACTGTCTTTAAAGGTTTACAAGTCATCATTAGAAAGAAAATGAATTTTTCTTCTGCACCTCCATCTTTTTGAAGCGCTCCTGCATCACGTTGTTGTTGCTCTCCAACTCCACGATCCTCTCTCTCAGCCGGTTGGTCTCTCCCTGCATCTGTGTGTTGGTCCGCAGGAGATCTTCATTGTTCACCAGAAGTCCTCGCATCTCGAAGCGGATCTGAGTCCTCTCCTTCTCCAGCTCGATGCTCTCCGCTTCCAGAAACTGGTTCCTCTGGAGCACATGCATCCACACATGTTAATGGTAATTACATTTTTTGCATCAATTCTGTGGAAAAACTTGTGAGAGTGTGTGTGTTTGGCTATGGAGAGTGTGTGTGTGTGTGTGGCTATGGAGAGTGTGTGTGTGTGGCTATGGAGAGTGTGTGTGTGTGTGGCTATGGAGAGTGTGTGTGTTTGGCTATGGAGAGTGTGTGTGTTTGGCTATGGAGAGTGTGTGTGTGTGGCTATGGAGAGTGTGTGTGTGTGGCTATGGAGAGTGTGTGGCTATGGAGAGTGTGTGTGTGGCCATGGAGAGTGTGTGTGTTTGGCTATGGAGAGTGTGTGTGTGTGTCTATGGAGAGTGTGTGTGTGTGTGTGTGTGTTTGGCTATGGAGAGTGTGTGGATTGTGTGTGTTTGGCTATGGACAGTGTGTGGAGAGTGTGTGTTTGGCTATGGAGAGAGAGTGTGTGTGTGTGTGTGACACTGACCCTGCGGCAGTCGTCCAGCTGATTGGTCAACTCCTGCACGAAGTCGCGCTTGTTCGGCTGGTTGTTCTGCATCATGAGTTGACCCGGCGTGGCCTTCTGGAGGACAACAGGTCAAATACTTTATATTTTTTACTTAGTTATAATTAAAAGCAACTGCTGAGACACAGTGTCTGTAACACACCAATTTATGGCTATATTGAATAATAACTTTATAATAACTAATATAAATATATATAAAATGCAAGTTATTTAATTATACATTTAAATTAATATATATACATAAGTGTAAAATTATAAAATATAGATGAATTTATTTATTTTAATAAAATAAAAAAATTATATATATATATATATATATGTGTGTGTATGTATGTGTGTGTGCATTATGTGTTATGTATTTTTTCCCAACAATTTCATAAAAATATATTGACATGGTTTAGGGTGGTTTTATTAATAATGCTCATTTGACAAGGAAGGTTAATGGTTTGATGAGGAATAAACTCACGTCTCGTCTGCGCGTCAGACTGTCGTAGCCGATGCGCGAGCGCTGATTGAGCGCGGGACTCGCAACGGGACTTCGGTTCAGACCAAAGAGGTTCACCTCAGAGACGCCAGGTGACATCACTTCCTGTGTCTGATTCAAATACAACAGTCAATAGTCCTGCAGTGTGACAAATTAAGTTTTATCTTGTGTAGTCTGGATTAATCACAAGTCACAAAAGCTATAATAATTATCACAAAAGTCACAAAAGCTATAATAATTATAAAAGAAGTGGATAATCATTGTTGAAGACAGTATTTATGTGACACTTTAGGTGTTCATACACACACAGATGGAGCTGAAGTACATGTTCTGTCCACTAGAGGGACACACACTCATACATAAACACAGAATGTGACTTATTTACCTTAAAATCTGTCATTCTGTTGATGGGATAATCCAACGACAGCGTCGCATATGGACTGTTGAAAACTCTGGAAGGACTGTCAAAGCCTCTGGATGGACTGTCAAAGCTGCCCATCTGGAGGAACACACAGGCATTACTGTAAACGGCTACTGTAAACTGCAAACGGCTACTGTAAACGGCTACTGTAAACTGCAAACGGCTACTGTTAATGGCTACAGTTAACGGCTACAGTTAACGGCTACTGCAAACGACTACTGTAAACCCCTACTGTAAACGGCTACTGCAAACGACTACTGTAAACCCCTACTGTAAACGGCTACTGTAAACCCCTACTGTAAACGGCTACTGCAAACGACTACTGTAAACCCCTACTGTAAACGGCTACTGTAAACCCCTACTGTAAACGGCTACTGTAAACGGCTACTGTAAACGACTACTGCAAACCCCTACTGTAAACGGCTACTGTAAACGGCTACTGCAAACGACTACAGCTAACGGCTATTGCAAACGACTACTGCAAACCCCTACTGTAAACGACTACTGCAAACGGCTACTGCAAACGACTACTGCAAACGGCTACTGCAAACGCCTACTGTAAACGCCTACAGTTAACGGCTATTGCAAACGACTACTGCAAACGGCTACTGCAAACCCCTACTGTAAACGGCTACTGTAAACGGCTACTGCAAACGACTACTGCAAACGTCTACTGCGAACACCTACTGTAAACGCCTACTGTAAACGCCTACAGTTAACGGCTATTGCAAACGACTACTGCAAACCCCTACTGTAAACGGCTACTGTAAACGGCTACTGCAAACGACTACTGCAAACCCCTACTGTAAACGGCTTCTGCAAACCCCTACTGTAAACTGCTACTGCAAACAACTACTGCAAACCCCTACTGTAAACGACTACTGCAAACCCCTACTGTAAACGGCTACTGTAAACGGCTACTGCAAACGGCTACTGCAAACGACTACTGCAAACCCCTACTGTAAACGACTACTGCAAACCCCTACTGTAAACGGCTACTGTAAACGGCTACTGCAAACGACTACTGCAAACCCCTACTGCAAACGACTACTGCAAACCCCTACTGTAAACGGCTACTGTAAACGACTACTGCAAACCCCTACTGTAAACGGCTACTGTAAACGGCTACTGCAAACGACTACTGCAAACCCCTACTGTAAACGACTACTGCAAACCCCTACTGTAAACGGCTACTGTAAACCCCTACTGTAAACGGCTACTGCAAACGACTACTGTAAACCCCTACTGTAAACGGCTACTGTAAACCCCTACTGTAAACGGCTACTGTAAACGGCTACTGCAAACGACTACAGCTAACGGCTATTGCAAACGACTACTGCAAACCCCTACTGCAAACGGCTACTGCAAACGCCTACTGTAAACGCCTACAGTTAACGGCTATTGCAAACGACTACTGCAAACGGCTACTGCAAACCCCTACTGTAAACGGCTACTGTAAACGGCTACTGCAAACGACTACTGCAAACGTCTACTGCGAACACCTACTGTAAACGCCTACTGTAAACGCCTACAGTTAACGGCTATTGCAAACGACTACTGCAAACCCCTACTGTAAACGGCTACTGTAAACGGCTACTGCAAACGACTACTGCAAACCCCTACTGTAAACGGCTTCTGCAAACCCCTACTGTAAACTGCTACTGCAAACAACTACTGCAAACCCCTACTGTAAACGACTACTGCAAACCCCTACTGTAAACGGCTACTGTAAACGGCTACTGCAAACGGCTACTGCAAACGACTACTGCAAACCCCTACTGTAAACGACTACTGCAAACCCCTACTGTAAACGGCTACTGTAAACGGCTACTGCAAACGACTACTGCAAACCCCTACTGTAAACGGCTACTGTAAACGGCTACTGTAAACCCCTACTGTAAACGGCTACTGTAAACGGCTACTGCAAACGACTACTGCAAACCCCTACTGTAAACGGCTACTGCAAACCCCTACTGTAAACGGCTACTGCAAACGACTACTTTGAACGGCTACTGTAAACGCCTACAGTAAACGCAAAGTTACAGTAAACGCCTACAGTGCATTAGTTTCTGTTATTTTAGTATCATTGAGATTATAGTTATTATAATTAATTAATTAATTAATTTTAAATTAATTATAATTAATATCTAGAATTTTTGTTTTATTTACATAATTTTTTTTTACATTTTATTTCTATATTTTTAAGCGGACACTCACCCTGTCGGACATGCTGTCCCAGTCCCGGGACGACAGCGACTCCATGGACCCACGCATGGCCGAGCTGATCCTCCTGAGGTTCCCGTTGGTCCCGCTGGAGCCGCTGGAGCCCACGGAGCCGTTGGCCCCCAGGAACAGCTGGTACCTGGGGTTGACCTGGGCTTTAGAGGTGGAGGGTTCGTCATCAGTCTGAAGACTGCTGTGCTGCTTCTCACCGTTGCAGATCTGGGTGAGAGAGAGGGAGTGAGTGACAGAGTGCTGGGGTTCCAGGACCTTCAATCAAGCCAAGATCAGACGCATGGTGTGTAGTTACAAACACTCAGAGACGCAACAAACACACACATGCACATCTAAAGCGCTCATGCGCAGGGATAAAACTTTAATTAAAAAAAGTAATTAATTTTTTTTAATTAAAATTAAAATTAAAAAAAAATTAATAAAATAAAAATTATAAATCTAAAATAATATAAATTAAATAAATTAAAATAAAATAAATGCATAAATAAAATAAAAAATTATAAATCTAAAATAATATAAATTAGATAAATTAAAATAAATACAAAAATAAATTACAAAATAAAATTATTATTTGTATTCAATTAAAAAAATCATATTTTTCTCAATTAAATAAAAAAATAAAGCAAAATAAAATAAAAATAAATAGAATAAAAAAATTATTAAAAAAATTAATAAAATATACATTTTATTAAAGTCAACAAAAGAAATTATAATATTTTTATAAAATCTAAAATAATATAAATAAAAAGGGAAATATACAAATAAAAACGATTAGTAAAACCTATAATCATTTCTCAATTCCACTCGAACAGCACTGCTCGTGCGCAGACAAAACGCCCTGAAACATCGAGACGAGTGTGTTGCATTGATTAGTATCAGAGTTGATTGATGAAGCGTGCAGCTGGAAATCAAACGGATGATTGACAGATTGATGTGAGGCGAGTGGAGATTCGGAGTGAAGCAGAGCGACTGACGACTGCGAGCGATCGGATCCGGTCCCGGACTTACCGGACCGGGAACAGGAGCATCCGGACTCTCTGTCCTATGCTTTTGCTCTTTAGTGTTGTGCTTGTCATCTTTAGCGTTGTGCTGGTCCTCTTTAGCGTTGTGCTTGTCATCTTTAGTGTTGTGCTTGTCATCTTTAGCGTTGTGCTTGTCATCTTTAGCGTGTTTCGTCCGATCTTCCTCCTTCCTCTTCTCTGTGACGGGACGTTTCTGCTCTGAGGATTCTTGTAATTTGGGATCTGGCATTTCTCCGGATGAGACCGGGCTCTGGTTCTTCCCTCTTTCTTTGCTTTCACGTCTCATTTTCCCGGTATCCCGTCCGCTCACGTCTTGACCTTTGACCTTCAGCGACCCGAGAGCGCGTTTGGGCGGTGTGTGTGATCCATCGAACCTGTAAATGAGATCCTTAACGCTTCCCGATCGTGTCAGATTGGATCCGGAGTGAAACGCTGTCTTCTTATTGGCCGCCCAGTTCCAGTCCTCGTCCTCCAGCGTGACACTCTTCCCTTTACACGCTCGATTCGGAGCGTTTGTGTTGTGTTTAGAGACATCGTTCCTCTCTGTTCCCTGAGAAACACACACACACTCGATTGCATCTGCTGTTCTGAAGAAACATTCCCACCCGAGTTTTGCAACCGTTATATTCCCGAAGGAAAAGGCATGAATCGCCCATCTAACGGCAATCGTGTCCGTATTATGACAGAACAGAACTGTGTGTTTGAGTTACGAAACACACACTTTCACCCAGACGGAAAACTGAACAAAAATGCATCCCTCATATTAATCATTTCATTTTTTCCATAATTCTGAGTATGTAAATACCACAATTTTTGAGATTCACCTTCCTTGATACATTTTTATTATTATACATGATTACACTCATTAGCGGTGCACTGTTTGTGTTAGCATGTAAATATGAGCATAGAGCTCAATGTATTCACCATTTCACATTCTAGATTCATACTTTGGGAGTTTCGGTCTTCTGTTGTGCAAGGGGTTGTGGGAAATATTACACCACAAATCATGCATGAACGCTTAGTTTGAAAATCCACAAGAAATAGCGAGCAAGTATTATTTTATTTAATGCAAAGTAATTAAAATTGAGGCCTTCTCTTTTGGAAAATTATCTCTTATGATGTTTCAAATATATATATACATTTTTTTTTACAAACTATTTATATTAAATATCATTTATAATTTTACATAAATATTATAATTACATAATTTGTTTTTAAATGATATACATATAACTTATAATTTTACATACAGTAAATATATATATTTGAAAAATATATAATTATATACAATTTAAAATTATACATAAATATATATGTGTGTGTGTGCTGTATGTGTATATATATATATATATATACACACACACACTTATTAATATTTCATGTAATTGGTGGTGGTATTTTCGAAATGATATATATATATATATATATAATATTTAGAATATGTTTTATTTAAATTATAAAATAGCATCTATGAGCCAAGCATTGCATTACTTGTGTGTGTGTGTGTGCAGAGGTGTGTGTGTGTGTGCAGAGGTGTGTGTGTGTGTGTAGATGTGTGTGTGTGCGTAGATGTGTGTGTGCGTGTGTAGACGTGTGTGTGTCTGTGTAGTGTGTGTGTGAGAGCGAGAGAGAGAGAGAGAGTGAATGAGTGAGTGAGTGAGTGAGAGAGTGTGTGTGCGTGTGTTTGTCTGTGTAGTGTGTGTGTGAGAGAGACAGAGAGAGAGAGAGAGAGAGAGAGAGAGAGAGAGAGAGAGAGAGAGAGAGAGAGAGAGAGAGAGAGAGAGAGA